AAATGATATTAGATACGGTAATACTGAATGTCAAGGAAGCTAATATTTTAAATGATATTAGATACGGTAATAATGAAAGTCAATGAAACTAATATTTTAAATGATATTAGATACGGTAATAATCAACGTCAATGAAACTAATATTTTAAATGATATTAGATACGGTAATAATGAAAGTCAATGAAACTAATATTTTAAATGATATTAGATACGGTAATAATCAACGTCAAAGAAACTAATATTTTAAATGATATTAGGAATGGTAATATTGAATGTCAAGGAAACTGATATTTTAAATGATATTAGATACGGTAATATTGAATGTCAAGGAAACTAATATTTTAAATGATATTAGATACGGTAATATTGAATGTCAAGGAACTATAATTTTAAATGATATTAGATACGGTAATAATGAAAGTCAAGGAAACTAATATTTTAAATGATATTAGATACGGTAATACTGAATGTCAAGGAAACTAATATTTTAAATGATATTAGATATATATAATAATTCTTTGTTTATAGTTAAGCACAAAGCTACACAATGAACTGTCTGTGCTGTGGCTACCATGGATGAGTATTGTTTAGCGTTATAAGTCTGCAGGCTTACCGCTGTGTCACTGGGAAGCAAATGAGAATAATCAGAGAGAAAAGAAAAATAGATTAAATGTAAGTTTTTCAGTGTCCTTCAGGAAGGAAAGTCGTGGATTAAACCTCGAACCTCGGTTATGCTAAACCAAAATTAAATTTTTACGTTGGGATGTTCTACGATAGTTACACAGCTTGTGGACTTAACGGTAATGTTTGTGTGAAGCAATGTGAATAGTGTAATAAAAACATTTTTGTGTTAAAAATACACGATTCTCTTGTTACTCAATTTACCCTCAATAATACCCCCCCCCCTTAATCCTTATAATCAATTTATCATACTTCAGAATTTAAGCTAATTTTTACAGTATTCACCAATCTTGAGGACATTAAACAAGGAAAACTTATATAGTTTTTTATCATTAATGATAACAGTGTAATAAAAAATTGTTTTCACAACTTTTATGTGCTCTTACGGCACATAAAATGTTTGTCACAACTATTAGGTGCTCTTACGGCACATAAAATGTTTGTCACAACTATTAGGAACTGTTCTTATGACACACAAAATATTTGTCACAACTATTAGGAACTGTTCTTATGGCACATAAAATGTTTGTCACAACTATTAGGAACTGTTCTTATCACATAAATTAACAATTTTTTGGCATTTTTCACCAGTTACTTTTTAATTTTAGAAACTAAACCTTCCACAATTGAATACCTTTCTTATTTTGAAAACAGTAATTTGTTTTCATTAAAGTTATAATTTTTAACTAGAAAATAAACTGTTTCCCTTTCAGCATTTTAACTTGAAAAGTAAGTTAATCTTTAACTGTAGATATGTAGTGTTTTGGTAGCACTGTAAGTTAACTGTAGGTATGTAGTGTTTTGGTAGCACTGTAAGTTAAATGTAGGTATGTAGAGATTTGGTAGCACTGTAAGTTAACTGTAGGTATGTAGAGATTTGGTAGCACTGTAAGTTAACTGTAGGTATGTAGAGATTTGGTAGCACTGTAAGTTAAATGTAGATATGTAGTGTTTTGGTAGTACTGTAAGTTAACTGCAGGTATGTAGAGATTTTGTAGCACTGTAAGTTAACTGTAGGTATGTAGTGTTTTGATAGCACTGTAAGTTAACTGTAGATATGTAGTGATTTGGTAGCACTGTAAGTTAACTGTAGGTATGTAGTGTTTGGTAGTACTGTAAGTTAAATGTAGATATGTAGTGTTTTGGTAGCACTGTAAGTTAACTGTAGGTATGTAGTGTTTTGGTAGCACTGTAAGTTAACTGTAGGTATGTAGTGATTTGGTAGCACTGTAAGTTAACTGCAGGTATGTAGTGTCTTGGTAGTATTGTAAGTTAACTGTAGTGTTTTGGTAGTACTGTAAGTTAACTGTAGTGTTTTGGTAATGCTGTAAGTTAACTGTAGGTATGTAGTGTTTTGGTAGCACTGTAAGTTAACTGTAGTGTTTTGGTAGCACTGTAAGTTAACCGTAGGTATGTAGTGTTTTGGTAGCAATGTAAGTTAACTGTAGTGTTTTGGTAATACTGTAAGTTAACTGTAGGTATGTAGTGTTTTGGTAGCACTGTAAGTTAACTGTAGGTATGTAGTGTTTTGGTAGCACTGTAAGTTAACTGTAGGTATGTAGTGTTTTGGTAGTACTGTAAGTTAACTGTAGGTATGTAGAGGTTTGGTAGCACTGTAAGTTAACTGTAGATATGTAGTGTTTTGGTAGTACTGTAAGTTAACT